GATGAATAAACATCTCGCGAGGCCATAAATAATCATCTGGTGAGGCGGGGAATAAACATCTTGCGAATAGCTCTCAAACTATCAGAGACTTATAAACTGACCTTGGATAGACAAGGTCTTACAACTTGGCTCGACAATAGTAAGAGGCGATGAATAAACATCTCGCGAAGCCGGAATAAACATCTGGAGATACAGGGAATAAACATTCCTCGAATAGCTCTCGAACTATCGGAGTCTTATAAACTAGTCTTGGATAGACTATGTCTTACAACTTGGCTCGACGGTAGTAAGAGGTAAGGAATAAACATCTCGCGAAGCCAAGAATAAGCATCTGGTGAGGTGGGGAATAAACATCATGCGAATAGCTCTCGAACTATCGAAATCTAATAAACTGGCCTCGGAATGACGATTTCTTATAGGACGACGAATAAACATCTCGCGAAGCTGGAATAAGCATCGGCGAGGTGGGGAATAGACATCACCCGAATAGCTCTCGAACTATCAGAATCTTATAAGTGGCCTCTGATAGACGAGGTCTTATAACTTGGCTCGATGATAGTGAGAGGCGAGGGATAAAAATCTCGCGAAGTCAAGAATAAACATCTGGCAAGGCAAGGAATAAACATCCCGCGAATAGCTCTCGAACTATTGGAGTCTTATAAACTGGCCTCAGATAGACGAGGTCTTGGCTCGACAATAGCGAGAGGCGATGAATAAACATCTCACAAAACCAGGAATAAGTATCGACGATGTGGGAAATAAACATCCTGCGAAGCCAAGAAATGCTTACTTTGCAAGGGCAAACACTTCTGGCTAGGGCTACAATGACGCTCTTTTTTCAAGGGAAAACAGTTCAAGATCCTACCTCTTCCTTTATTCAAGGAACGAGGACTCCAAGATGTTGCGTCTTTCTTTATTCAAGGAATGATGACTCATAAAAATACCGTCTCTTCCTTTAATCAAGGAACGATGACTCAAAGAAATACCGTCCCTTCCTTTATTTAAGGAATGATGACTCATAAAAATACCATATCTTCCTTTGTTCAAGGAATAAGGACTTAAAGAAATATCGTCAATTCCCTCATTCAAGGAATGAGGACTCCAAAATACTGTCTTTTCCTTTTTTTCAAGGAATGATGACTCAAGAACTACCGCATCTTTTTTTAAATAAGAAAACCCTGAGCAAGCCTCGATGTGCAAGGAATAGCTGGAGTTCACAATTATATCACCAATTGACATCCCCAAAGGGCTCGAGGAAAATAAATCCTTAGCCCATTTCGAATAGTCTGATTATCATCAATATAGTCCTCGATTGCATCCATTATCTAAGAGTTGGAGGTCGGAAAGCTTATCATAAGCATCCGAGGTGGCACAAAGATAGCCAAATAAGCTAAAATATCGTGGCATAATGAACATTCTATCTAGTGGTGGCAAACGGGCCAAGTGGCTGGTCGGCTCGACCGCTCGGCTCGTGGGCGGTGATGAGCCCAAACCCGAGCCCAAACCGGGCCGAGTCGACTCTACTCGCCCATGGGCGAGTGGCTCATGGGCTTGTCTAAGGCAAAGGGTTAATTTTTTTTAAAAAGGGTTTATCTTCAAAAAAAAAATTGATAAGCTTGCGGCCGAAGCTCGGCTCGAGCCACGAGCTCACAGGCCGAGTTGGCTTGGCTCGACCCATTGCCATATCTAATTCTACCTCTTATGAACAACATCGTTCCGGTGATAGAACATTAAATTTTTCAGTGATAGCACAACCAGATTGAAATAATTCTTCCAATGACCATTTTTATAATACTTCCTAAGTACCTTTCCTTTGGAGACCAAAAAACCAGAATATATGTATCCCTTTTCCGAAAAGAAATGACATCTGGCTTGGTTGCTCTTCCACTTAATTTATAGCGTCAACAATTACAGGTTAAAAGAATGCATTAACTTTCAAGGCGTGGTGATGACACTTTTTAAACCTTGTTGCAATAATTTTTTTCTCATCAAATATATAAGCCCCCTCATGTAGAATATCCAGAAACCACAGCCAAATTGGGTTCATAAATTTGGAAGAAACAGAAGTTGAAATGTCCAAGATGATTTAAAATGGAAAGAGTAAACTGAAGTACCCAATTGGCCCAAATTCATTGGATGAAATTAATGTCCTATGCTCCAAGGAAAATAAATATCCAGTACACAAGTGGGAATAAATTGTTGCAACCCGAAAATGAAGTCTAGTGGCAGCAAATTGTTCAATGGAAAATAAATCTTTCAAAGAGAATAATATCCAATAGCCTAGTCAAATGAGTTGGATCAAACAAAAATAGAAGGCCCAATCAAATTTATAAGCTTGGACAACCTACAGACTTATTGGGCCCAAATAATAATATTTTTTTCAAGCTATCTCTTCATAATAAAAAGGGCAGTCCATACATTGATTTGTTAACTTTACTGGCCCATAGTCCATAAAAAAAGCCCAATAGTTGACCCAAGTGAAATGATCCCCAAAAAGATCACTTAAATACAAGAGGAAATTATACCCAAGCAGGTTTTTAAAATATCAATTTCACAAATCAGGTCACTACTTTAACTTTTCTAAAAACAGGTTTTATTTTATTAAATATTAATTATATTAAACCTAATCAAACCTAAA